CCTTCCATTGATTAGTTTCAGTTTGCCTAATCATCTGCATTGTCTACAAACATCACGACTATCCTCCACCGATAGCCCAAGCAGTTATTTCTAAACAGAAAATAAATGCACAATGGATATTCAATCAACATTTCATTTCCTCATTCTTCTCAATTAATTATCCAATTAATTAAACAATGTAATTAGGCCAATTCCCATAATTAAACATTTCAACCCTTAGGTCCCATTTTCATCAATAATTCAACATTCATTCCATTTCTCTATGCCAAACATGCATCTAGGTTTATTATGAATAAAACCCCAACTTTTGTAAAATTACACAAAGCCCCAACTTTCACAAAATTACCAAACCAACCCAACATCTCAAAATACCAAAATTAAGACAAATCCATAGAGGGAGTAGGATATCTCTACCTCGAAGTTTAAGCCAAAAGGAGATGAAACTCGAAGATCAACGTGTTCCAAATCCCAACTTTTTTCAGATTAAAACAAAGCTCTCAACGCCCTCTATCTTTTTAACAAAGGCCCTAGCTAGATTCACACTCTAGGGGAGATCAATTCTTAGAGAGAATATAAGTTTAGAGAGAGAGGGTCTCGGATCTAGGGTTTGATCAAAAAAGAGAGTGAAAAAGTGATGTTCAAAACGCTACTGTCCGCTGATATAAAACACGCTCGCTCGAGCGAAGCCTGGTCGCTCGAGCGACCAGACACAGAAACTCTCGCTGAGCCAAGAAACTCTTGCTCGAGCCAAAAACTCAAAAGTGTGCTCGAGCGAAAGAATGCTCGCTCGAGCCAACAACTCAACCCTCAGGTCTGTAACCAGAAGCACGCTCGAGCGACAGACCTCTCGCTCGAGCGAAGAACAAACCAGACCGCTCGAGCCAAGAAACACAACTCTCAAGTCCAGAACCAGGTGCAAGCGCTCGCTCGAGCGAAGCCACTTTGGCTCGACCCACCAGACACGAACTCAACTCTCGCTCGAGCGACAAACTCCTGGCTCGAGCGAAGGTTCAAAATCTGGGCAGCAACACTAGGCTCCCAAAACACACCAACACTTAACAAACCTGCCCAACACATCCTATAACTCAAATACAAAGTAAAAAGGATGTAAACAAGATAATAAACAACTACCAAACATCCACGGACACATGTCCGGATCACTGTTCAACAAGGGTAAACCCGGGATCGCTATACAAGTCCTAATATACTAAAACTCGACTCGATTGCAACCCTTCCTCTCTCCCTCTCTTTCTCTCTCACATAAATTTTATAAAAATTTTAAAAGAAATTTAATATTAAATATCTCATAACATTTTTTAATAATATATATAATTTTTTGACAGGTGATTTTTTTTTTTTAAATGTATGCATGTAAGAAAATGAGTAAAAAGAGTCAATATGACAGTTTGACATAGGTCTCCATCCATCAGAAAAGA